CAAGGAGGGGGATGTATCAGCTGAAGGCAGATATGACTATAATAGAGCTGGGGCTGGGCTAACAAGTGTAATTTGAAGAGTGAGAGACAGATATCTATACAGTGAAAAAGGAGGATGGGGAAGAGTCCCACGTGGCTGCGCGGAAGGAGGAGGGCTGAACAGAGGAGCATGGACGGTTCAAGAGGACAAGTTACTACTGACTTCTTACATTGAGACACACGGCCAAGCCAGATGGACACGCATCCCTAAAGGAGCTGGTAATTAACTTTGGTTCTTAATTCTCCTCTGTGCTTGGCTGGGCATGCATGACCCTTTGTAATTCTAAATGCAGGCTTGAATAGGAGTGCCAAAAGCTGTAGGCTCAGATGGTTGAACTATCTCATCTGGCCTGGTATTAAAGAGGCGGCATCACACAAGATGAAGAAGAACTCATCATTAGGCTTCATAAGCTTCTTGGTAAACAGGTTATTATATTCATTCCCTCCCCTCATTCTTCTTAATTAGTCTCGCACTATTTCTCCTTCCATAATTCATAGTTTATCTTGCTTTTGCCGGTCTTTTTAATGTAAGTCTATCTCAGGTGGTCTCTCATAGCTGGAAGGCTACCTGGCCGAACAGACAATGAAATCAAAAACTACTGGAACACCACTTTGGCAAAAAAGCTCAGGACCGGCACAGGCATGTTCAATATCTGAACAACATGGAACAATGAGATCAGCAGTAAGCAATAAGCCTGATGTGACTCAAACACGAGTAATCCGTACCAAGGCTGGTAGATGCAAGAACGTGGTCATTCAATATCCCCAGAGTGCGAAGGAAAAATCATTAGCTTCGAGCGAGCAGCAGATTTATGAAGCTCACCATCTAATTGCCACTGATGCGTTCTTAAACCAGTGTCAGGGTTCAGAACCTCAGCTTTCACATGAAAATCACGATTCGTCAGATGTGAGTTTGTGGAGTCCTGGAATAAGAACGAGTTTCTGCATCAACTAAATGAAGCAGACTTTTGTTCATACTTCAACCTTGACGAACTTATGGTCAGTTGGGCCACTAGTGGAATACTCGATGAGGACACCGTCACTGTGGATCTAGATATGGCCCTCATGGATGGCCCTGACTTCGTTTAATTTAATGTGAAGCTGCTAGCCTCATCATTAATTCCTCTTCTGGCTTGTTTCTGATCGTCTGTTTTTCCTGAGTGACGTATCTCTGGATATCTGATCAATATCTTTTATGAAGGACGTAAATTGAGCCTTTTGACTTGTAATCTGTAATGTACGATGTTTTTCTTTGAGGGAGAATGAATCACATTCCAACCAAGGCTTCTTTTTTTTTTTCCAATTTATTTTTGCCACCGAACCAGGGATTGAGGAACAGGGACCAGTGGCAACGCAGGCAGTGCCAGCAATGTTTTAACTTTTAAATATTAATACTGTTATTTATATATTAGCTCGTTCATTAATATAAGAGTTACTTAAAAATTTACTTTGATCATAAATATAACACTTCAGTCTATTTTGTCTTTAATATTTATTTATTTATTTTCAAATAATCTTTATAGTTATCACATGTTAAGGAGTTTTCACCGTGATAATTTTAATACATATGATTAACAAGAGTATTTTAAAAAATATAACACTTATTTATTACAGCTAACTAATTTAATAAATTGCTTTAATTTTTCTCAAAATAGTTATCATACTCTATACTACCTACCTCCGGTTCTAATTATAAAAATAAATAAATAAATAATAAAAGCACTCCGTGGTGCAATAAGTCAAAGTCAATGCGTATGATTTCTTTTTTGACAAAATCTCGCCGCCGAAATCTCTCAGCAAATGTTTATATTTTTATTGTTTATAATATTAAAAATCAATCTGCGCCCTGCTGTCTGCACATTCTATTTTATTCGGGAAAACTAATCTGGCAGTCCTTATACTTCTATGAAATTTGTAATCAGGTCCCTCTAGTTTTTTTTCATTTTATTAAATCCTTGTTATTTGGTCAGTTAGTAACTAAGGTCCTTTTGTTTATAATTGCCGTTACCTTAAGTTAACAGTGGTGATGTGGCATGACTAAGCACCATCTTTCTTACCTCACCTGCAACACCTTCTCTCTCTCATTTTCTCTCATCCTCCACTTGGTTTTCTTTTTAGAGCAAAAAGCTTCATTCAGTTTTCTTCCAAACCAACACCATCATCTTCTCTCTCACTTCATGCACTCTCTCTCCCCACCACCAGAAGCTTCATCCTGTTTCAAATCCCTTCTCAGACGGCGATGCGGATCTGGGTGATGATAGCTGACTAAGAAGAGGACCACGATGTCATGAGACTCTTCAGATTCATCGTCTTCATCCTTAAATTTTTTTTTCCTGAAAAATTAGCCCATTTGAATAGATGTCCAATTAAGTCCAATAGTGAAATATGGAAGAGGTTCTACTACTCTTTGGCCCAAAAAAATACATTACAAATAGAGAGAGAATCTGATGATTTTGAAACGGTAGTGGTAGGGAGAGAGATAATATGAAGTGTGTGAGAGAGATGATGATGTTAGTTTGGAAGAGAACTGAGTGGAGGCAGGGGAGAGAAAAGATGAAGGCGTACGTGTTCCAGGTGAAATGAAGAAGATGATGCTGGTCAGATGTTGAACAGTGCTCCGGTTAAATAATAATAATAATAATAATAAAGATGTTGAACAATACCGTGTCAGTGTTGTCACCTTAAAGTAATGATAATCATAACGGAAGGACTTGCGTTACTAACTGAGCAAAGAATAAGGATCTAATAAAATGAAAAAAAATTATAGGGACCTGGTTCCAAATCTGATAAAAGTATGAGGACTGTCAAATTAATTTTTTCTTTTTATTTTCTTATTACGTGCATTTCTGAAAAGTTTAAATGAGACTATTATTTTATAAATATATTGATATATTTTGGCCGCCAGAAATTCGTTGATGTTAATATGTCTTTTGCAAATGAATGCTACTGTTTTTTTTTTAACCAGCATGCTACTGTTGTCATTTAAAGTCATACACATCCATTAAAAGATATGAAATAGCTAGCGCTATAGAAAAATCTAAAAGCATAATTAAAACGCCGCTACACTAAGGTATTAAAATATTGCAGTTATACTTATATGGACTTATATCCTTACATGTATCATTAATTTTATAGTAAGGTGTAAATTTGTTCAAGGGAGCAGTGTTGCTTAGGATTTTTTTTAATTTATTTTAAGTTTAGTGTTGCTCTGTTTCGTTAAAAAGCTGATGTCGACTGTTAACATTCTTAATAATAAAAAATGGCATCATTCAAAAAATAATAATAAATGGTAACGTTGCTTCATTTTCATTATATTTTTGTTATATATACCCACTTATAAATTTTAAAGCACGTTTTTAAATTCAGTATAATTTACTATTCAATTTTACTAGAGATCTACGCCCGCCGAGCAAAAGAATCTATTAATTTGCGTGCTGGATTTATCTCCCTGTATTTTTTGAATTGTCGGTTCACTGAGTATGATTCTTTTTCTTTTCCAGTCAAACCCGTGGGGTCATCGGACAACCCATTTTTAATACAAATAATTTAATTAATTGACAAGCTTCACTGGATAGCATGATTGGCATCAAAATCAGTATACCGTTGTATTTTTGTTATATATCGATATTATATATATTTTGTATATAATTAAATTTTTTGAAAGCTATGATGTTTATAATTCATGAACAGCATTACCCCCTATGCTTTTAACCGCCTTGCTGAATTAAAAGAATAAAAAATAGACAATAATATCGGACCTTATCAATTGCATGTAATCTGATCAATAACGTGACTTATCTGAAAGAGTACCGTTTTAGGCGATTCTGAAACTTTTTTATCATAGTCTAATGCAGCTGCTTTTTTTTTTTTTTTGAAAAAAAAAGAACTCTATTAATGTTTGTTTATAACATGAGTCATTATCATTTTGAAAAATATTTTGGAATAAACCATTCACGCATGTGTATCAGTGTATAGTGTGTTGATTAAATTAAAGACAAAAGGTTCCTTTTCATATATAGCGTGAAGACTCGCGTATTTTCTAGATTCAGTATGCAATTCTACCTAATGTGCTGAATATGATATCTTGTTAATTAATTTTAAAAAATTAACAAAGTTATTAAATTATTTTAAAGTCTTTATGTCTGTCATTTTTCTCAAGACTAGTTTGTTTCACTTATAAGTTGATATATAATCTTATTATGTATATAAATATTTTAGAGAAATCATATAATATATATTATAATTAAATAATTAAATAATTTTTTAATCTTATTAAATTAATTAATTAGATTTTATATTAAAAATCAGAAGCAATACATTAATATAAAACACTTTAGTATTTTCTAGAGATCTATGCGAACATACATCATATATTAATAATGTGCATGTTTTGTGTGTATGTTATGTTACTTGTCAAGTTGTCGGTTTCAAGTGAGTATCGGAGAATTTGCCCCTAAAGAAAGGGGGAAGCATTGAACAACTCATTTTAAGTCCAACCTCATCGATCTGCGTCGCCTGAGGCTGCGAACATCAAAATGGCTTTTTTAATAGCAATCCATTTTTGGAAATAAAGCGACAAATACTAACAAAAAACGTTTAAGATTAACCTCAGTCTCCTGACTGTCAGAGAATAATTACATCTCTCCATCAGCGTCAACTTGGACCTTTTTTAAGTTCCTTTTTGACGCCAGAGCCTCACACTTGGACTGACACTGTACTCTGACCTCGTCTTCCACATCTTCTCATGTCTGCACGTGATATGTTTTGTAGTCTACTATTATCGTTAGTATTTAATATAAGATTTTATTTAATTTTTATTTTAGTTATAAATATAAAATTCTAATTTGTTTTGTCTTTTATAGTTATACTTTTTTTTTAAAGTAACCTTTCTAATAATAATAGTGTTTTAGTCAATACACTTGATTAGTAAGGATATTTTAAGAAAAACAATACCTATTTAGGATAAATAACTAACTCAACTTACTTTTTTAATCTCCTCAAATTAGTCAATTGGTTCTTATAATAAGACTGGAGGTAATACATTACTACTTACTCTTATATACACATAGAAAATTAAACAAAGATACCAATCCTGGTGTAATTAGACTTGATTGGATTGTGTTTCTTATATCGTCTTTGTTTAAGACCAGCGGTAGTATTTTATTGAGAATTGAATTTAGTTTTAAATATAAAATTTTAATTTATTTTGTATTTTATGATTATTATTTTTTTAAAGGAGTTTCTATCAACAACGAGTACTTTTCATGCAAATGATTTAAGAACTTATATTAGAAAAAACAACACATATTTTTAATAAATAATTAATTTAAATAATTTTCTCAACCAGTCTAATCATATTAGTTAAGTAGCTCTTATATTAAGCATCAAATGTAGTTTTTTTTTTTTTTTGCGTTAATGATGATGTGTTATATTACTGTATTAGCTATCCTCTCACTCCATAATAAAGGCACTTTTAAAAATAAAACAAATTTTTCCTTACGTATTTTAATCAATTTTAACCCACTTTTTATCAACTTAATTTGGTTACTTGTTATGTACAACTAGACTGGACTTAAATTTCTTTCCTGCCGTCTTCCTTGATCCCATCTTTCTTGTCGCTTCATCTAAGTTTTTCGTCCTCTGTAGTTTTGCAGGGT